CTGCATGAAATCGAATTCTGAAAACTGCAGTGGTTTAAAGTAAACCTTTGAACAAACATCTCTATGATGGTGGTCACTGAAGACACGTATCTCTCCCTCGCGTTACTGAAGAAACTAAAAGATGGAGAATCATACTAGTGATGAGGCCTAAAACCCTCAGAGAGTGGGGAATTGGGAAGAGTTCCTGGCTTCCAGATACGTGTTCCTCTGTATAGATTCAAATGAGCTCTTTTATCCCTCACACATCACTGTTATTCATCGAATTTGTGTACGAGAGGATGGATTATCGTAGAGGAACTTCCTACTGCTATTAGTAGACTATGACCACCAAGCTGGATTATCCAAAGCTGGCCAGGTATCGCTTGGGTGTTTATGCTTTCCAGAGTAGACTGCAGAAATGCAGCTGTTTGTTTATGTATTTATAAGACACCAGCAGCAAGATTTTCAGCTGATGAATGTGAATTATCATAAGTTAACTTAGAAAAGCACCAAAACTACTTTTTGTCATTGGAGGACCACATAAAACCATGTAGTACTCTGTAAAACAGATCAATCTACCTGGAAGAAGGAACTAGCATTCGTCCCCTGCTGGGCCCCATCAGTCTGTTGGTCCTTTCTTCCTCTGCCTGCAAACCAGAGGAGTTTGTCCATTTACTTGACCCAAGTCACAAGAGCAAGGGCAGGTTGACAGTCTGCACGCCCTCGTTTCCACATACTAACACCAGCCTTGGTGGTGTACAACACAGCTTTACAAAATTTAAACAATTGTAGCTTCACTGTGCATGGGAAAGAAAAAGGAAACATAGAAATGGAAAAATTAGTTACATGGTCAATTAATTAATCTTCTGCAGAAATCTATGAATCCTAACTCATATTTTAATTAGCCTTATCATGTTCACACAACATTTCAGCTCTTTGCTGACACTTAGCTTTAGCCTGTTTTCATACAAGCTGAACACCAGGACCACAATACAGTTATGCAAGCTGTATTGTGCATACATGAATCATTTTTTCTTTTATTGAATCAGATCCCTCTATGAGTCAAAATAATGAATTATTTAAGAGTACCAAATACTAAAATTAAATAAACATTCAAAAGAAATAATAATAATGTATGTATCTTTCAACTAGATATATTTTCTGATTAGCTTGGATTTTGCCAAGAATTTTATAAAAGTGGAGACCATAACTGTGCTAATAAAGAGGAAATTATACCAACCCATAATTAGAGTAATAAGGAGAAAGTTATAGCAGATCATAACTGAGCCAATAAGAGGAAAAGATAATCATGTCTAACGGCTTATATGAGCGATAGCACCTTCTGTATACTTAATAAATTGGTATCCGTTTCCGTGATATGCATCTAAGGTATCTTTCCTTAGATGCAAATATAGCAAATATCTCTTCAAATATGAAATGTACTTTCCATGACTTTTCTAATTATTTGTTAATGGGAATTTTGTTGGGAATTTCTGTTACTCTCAAACAACAAGTGACATTGACCGGTCAAAGAGGACCTGAGCTAAGTTCACCCATCTGCCGCCTTCTGCCTTTTTACCTTTTTTACCTTTGCTGTCAGTGATTTTCCCCCTGGAGATCCTGAGCTGCTAGCTGTCTCCGTCTTGGTGATCTGACCACCTTCTTTTCTTGTACAGCTGGAGTTTACTATTTTTACTTGCAGCTCTTTCTTGCAACACAGGAGCTTTCTCAGAAGTTTGAGCCAAGGTCGTGCAGCTGTTCCCTGGGAAAGGCCAGGCCTGCAGTCAGGGCCGCTAAGCTGAGGAGGGGGCTTACCAGGCCTAGAGAGCTTAAACAAAATTGTTTAATCATACAAGTTGTATTTCAGATGATTTAGCAATAATTTACATTGTGTTTTTCCCTCTGAACAATTAGAAAAAAAATTTTCCTACTTTTACAAACTATTAGCATCTCCTTAGTTAGCAAGGTCCTTCTGTCCGTAGCACTTTTCCTTGGTTTTAAAGGATCCTAAAATCTTAGAGAAAAGTGCAAATGTTGGCCTGGCTGTGAAATGTACATTCATCGCTCATTCAGAGACCTTTCTAAGATACAGACAAGGTATCTAGCCTTAGATACCTGGCTTTATCAAGCACTTTCTAGCCAGCAGCCAATGAAGTTAGCAACAGTGACCTCTTTTTGAGGAAAGTGGTAAAAAGTCAGATAAAACATAGTATTTCCTCACGCACGTGCTTTACATGCAATCCCTAATTTGACAGGTTGTTCAGCTTAGTGCTCCTTATAACAGACCAGGTGTTTGTTTTGAGGGTGTAGATGGCTTGGGAGGCCAAGCTCGAACCCTGTGAGCAGCTGGAGGTGATGCTTGACATGTGAATAGACTTGGAAAGCTCAGAGGAAGCTTGGGAGAGAAGTGCTTTCCATTGGGATGCCATGAAAGAGAAACACCTGAGATACATCTTTTCCCTATTTTGTCTACCATAAATTTCTCAGTGCTATTACATGAATCCTCAAGGTAATCCAAAATGTGCATAAATCAGAGTATTCATAAATTTAAAAGACTGCATATGCTTAGGTAATACGCTGAAGGGCAGCTGAATAGTGAAATAAATAATAACAGAAATGTTTGAGGTTCCCATAATATATATTACTTAAATTTTCTAAGCTTCTTAAGAGTACTAAACATCTGTCGTTCCTACAGCTGGCCTTTGTTTTCGTTTCCCGAGAGACCTGGACATATCTCCTATTGAACATCCTGTACTAATATGAGATATATTTCATACATACACGTTCAGTGATAAAATGCATGATTATCTTTGGTGGTGATTTTTAACAACCTTGCCTGAGCTGAAAAAACAATGTAAATAAATAAATAAATATATATATATATATATTTAAAAGTATCAGTATGTATGTATCTATCTATAAGCTGTTTTCTATATTCTGCTATTGGATACCTTCTTTTCTTCTGAGTTCCCAGAGGAATATTGAGAAAATGACCAGTCTACACAAAATTACTAAAGGCATTAAGTGTATTTAATATGTAATTTTCATGCAGGTATTTTTAGAAAGCTAAGTAATAACTAAAACAAGTGTTTCCTCTCACAGCACACAGTTGTGAAACTTTAATTTATATGTTAATTTTTTAATTAAAGGAAAAATCATAGAAAAGGGCCCTAATAGTCTAACATTAGACTCGAGAATAATAGTTTGGAAGTATAACAGTCTAAACAGTCTGTCTGAATGTCCCAGTTTAGCCAGGTAACCCTAATGCTGAGCTTGGAGCATTTCCTACTCCCCGACAAACAGCCTGAGACGGTATATTCACTTATCGCAGGGTCACCTTGTCCGAGTCCACAGAAATGCTAACGTACACTTCGCATTTAATACATCTGCCTGCCTCAGAGCTGCATGTCGCGAGTGCCCTGAGCACTGCAGAGGGCATCATCGGGGTGGCAAAGGACCTCTGGAGAGCAGAGCTGGGAGAGCAGAGGTAGGACACCGCTGCCAACGTTAGAGACGGAGGAGACCAGAAATGGCATTTTTTGTGTTTGATTCTCCTGCTGTTTTCCTGTTCCTGTGGGAAACTGAAGCTCAAAATTTTTGAGAAGCAAGTGGCTAGAGTTGTCTCTAGAATAGACACCAAGCTAATTATATTTTATTATTAAAGGTTTATGCTTATGTAACTAAGATCACAGTCTTGGCTAAGAATTCTTAATTCCAAACTATCACTTTCATGCTAAATTCCTAGGGATTTACAGTCTGGCTCAGGTTTAGACTAGGCTATGTTCTCTAAAATGGACATGTCTCCGCAGTAAACCTATCTAATCTGTTCCTAAAGGCACATTTTAAAGTTACTAGGAGAAATCAAATGACCGTGCTTTCTTGAGCTTTTCTCTATTAAAACCCTTTTTCACATACTAGCTTCTAAAAACAGTTTGAAGTCTCCATGTTAAGGGCTGTGAACTTTATGCATTTTATTTCTGCTTTGTTTCTCTTCTATGCATTGCCAAATATTGCCTCTGTATAATTGAAACAGAGCTGTAGTTTGATTGTTAAATTAAGGGGAAGTAATTGTCTGGAGCACTAAAAGGAGGAGCAAAGGCTGTTGGTGGAGGCAAACCTGATGCGTGGGTCGGCTGCATGTCTCCAGTATAGCTTTGATGCGCTGTTTTGTAAGGGGGGAATGCGTGCCTGTATACAAGTTATTTATCGTCTCCCCTTCTCTTCCTATTTTACTTTCATTTGTATCTCAGAACAGTCTCAATTTAAACAACATCTTGATAAACGTGTCTATAGCACAGCGCTCAAGAGGGTCCCGCTCTCGGCTGGGTGACTGAACAGGCGCTAATTTATGGCGGGGCGGTGGGACAGGTCCCCGGCTGGGCGGCAGCCCTGGCACCTCCGAGCCTCAGTTCAGGGTCGAAAGACCCTAGCCACAAGAAGGATGTCAGAAACACTCACCAGCATGGGTGATTTCTTACTGTATGCCTCAGAACAGTGAGAAAACATTATGTGGCACCTTCTGGGTACCACTTTTAACCCTACTGTCACAGGAGGACAACACAGGTCTCTGCAGTAGCCTTCAGATGTCATAAGTCAAGTAATATTACCGATACTTGCTGGTTGTTATGTCTGTGCAGAGGACTCTCCTTTTTCTCTGCCACGGTTGTTTGTGATGAGGAATAACTAAATACAGTGAAAAGAAAAGTTTGAGGTACTTTAAAATTGTATTTATCTTGAGCTGTACAATGGCAAAAAAAAAAAAAAGGTAGGATTAGCTGTCTGTGCAAGACAAAGGAAACAAAGGCAGGATTATGTCATATTCATAACTCTGTTTATCTTTTTAGATTATGAAACTCTTGCCCTGCCCTACGAATCACTTCATCTTCCCTTACCAGTAGAAGCTAACGCCTGGTTTTCTCCAAAACGGGGTTCTCTCTGCAGCATTTCTGCACCTATACCATTAGCCTTTGAACAGATGTCAGACTGTAAAGCACGGCTGCCTACAGATCAAGTTGCGGCTGCCAGCTCTCGCGAGCTTTGTGTCAGAAACAGTTGATTATAATGTCAGTACTGTCCAATTTACAGGCTTAAAGCAGCAGCTGCATACTGCATTTTCACAGAAGTATTCAAAGATCGTGACTCTTAGAAACTTTGTAGTTGTAGTAACAGAAGTGGGGTAAGTGATTCTCTGTTTAACATGTCTCTGTCTGCCAGTGTAATCTACAGTTCAGCTTGATTTGCATGGGGATTGTGATCTTTTAAAATGTTATGCTCTGCCCATTTGTTGCTCTCTTGGGAAAACTCACTCTACCCTGCGAAGGGAGCAAGTAAGCAGGCATGTGTATCAGCCCTTGCTGTTATTCAAGAGATTCTGGGCTAAGTAAATTAAACTCAGCTAGAAATCACATATTAATTCAACCATCTTTTCTATTTAAATAGCAATTACATAGCCTTGTGTGTAGATTTCTTGGCTTGGAAAAGATTTGCAAGGAGAGGAAACAGTCATTGAAATAAATTGTATTCCCTTGCTGAATGAGAATACGAAAGTACATTCTGTTTAACTTTTACTGGGTCAAACTAATGCAGAAGCAGCTTTTGAAAGTGTGCAAATACATTATATGATATATCTCCACTTGGTTAAGGTGGATGAGCCAAAGCAATCTTCTGACTCTTCTACTCTCATAGTAATAATCAAGTAATGTTTGTTTTGCTCAGTGTACTTTATATTGCTGAGTTTGTTTTAATGCAGCATTAAAATTATTATTGAATGTAATATTTGCCATACTTTCAAGGTGTAATAGTAATCCTCTGTCACTTGCTGCTTTTGTCAATATTAGCAGAGTAACTTGAAGCTAGACGTATCCTCACATTCAGTAGTATAAAACTTCTGGATTTTTCAAGCTTGATCTATTTCAGACTGTTATTTTATTGAAGGGTTAATTAGAAAGGTACAGATTTGAATATTAGTTTTTTTTTTTTTCCTCAGAGTTCTCATCTAAGACATTTTAGGGTCAACATTTATGCCTCTGTGTTTTGAAATGCTGGAGTGTTTTTCTCTTATCCTGCTCTTTTTTAGAATTAATTTTTAGATATTAAAAGCTTTGAGAACTTTAACCTTTTCTATTTTTCCTAATGTCTTTTTTTTCCTTTGGAACGATATTAGAAATCCCTGATTGCTTCCATCTTTTTGTTGCCATTGTTCAGTCCCGGGTGATATGTTAAAAGTGAATACATGAAAAAGAGAAAGAGCCTGTGAAATAACAGACTTACTTAAAAAAAATTACTTTTCCCATCTCAAGCTGCGGTGCATTGGACGCACATACACACAGTGAGATTCCTACTGTAAACACTGATGTTTCTCACGGCCACCACGCTTGTCGAGGCTGACCGTGAGACAAGGTGAAAGAATTTAGTGCTAACCTAATCTTTATGTGCCTTTTCTCACCTAGCTCTCCAAAGATTTTATTGCAGGAATGAATGGAAAAAACTGGCGGGCGTATAGTGAGGACTAAACGGCCAAGCTCTGCAGCTGGGAGCTCCCCTGCAGGCTGGGGAAGCGAGGCTCTGGGCACACAAAGTCCTCTGTGGTTGCTGGACCACGTGAGTAGTCCAGATCGCCTGCTCACATCTGTAAAGCATAGCACGCACATGAGCATTTGCAGGTTTCTGATGAGCAAATCTTAAGGTGAAGTGAACCATTAGAGAAACTGTGAAATCTATTTCCCCTGCTCCCCACTTTGTCTTTTTTTTTTAAATAAAAGGACACTTTGAGGATAAATATTTATTTTTCCAAAGTTTAGCTGTTGTTTATCAGTTTTGATAAATTCTCTGAGAATTTTTCTCTGTTCCCTTGATTCTATCTCAAAGTCGGGAGCTGCTTTGAGCAAAATGTTCCTTTTCTTTTTCCTGCGTTTTCTCAGCTTATTTCCAGCAATATGCAAACAAGCAAGAGGAGCTCAGATTGGGCGCACAGCTGTACTTTCCACAGAAATTAGCCTCATTCCTTTTAAGGACACAAGTGCTTCTTATTAACAAAGAATGGACTGTTTAAAGTGGCAGGACAGAGTACACTATGTACAAGAGGGCAGCAAGCAAAACATAGAAGGAAGCTTTGTTGAGCATTTTCAAATATGTAAGCCGTAGAAATGGATTTTTGCAAGTATTCTTCTGACATTTCATTTTCATGGGGAAAATGCATTTTTATAACCTTTTAAAAGATTAGGGTAAATAGGACTATTAGTATGCTTAAATGGTCTACGTAATCAGAATCTATGCCCTTAGCTTTAAGATAATATTAATTGTCTCTCTGAAAAACTCTCAGGAAGCAAGGATCAGGCCATAAATTATTAGGCACTGCCTACACAGATAAAAAAAAAAATCCATATGTATTTTTAACATCTTAACGTTCATTTTAAGTAGCAGAAATATGACAACTTCTCATGAATACAATGGTTACAAACTAGGTTAAATTACCTTATAGAAATAAGATCTTGAAAGAAATGTTGCATGTAGGTCTTGGCATACCTCTGTAGGCAGTCATCCACAAGAGCTAATGACCTGGCAGTCAGCTGAGGTACTTTATGCACTTCACTTGCTGGAAACACCGTTAGATCTTAAGACACGTGCGTAGGCCACTATAACCATCTGTGCCTTTTGGGATTATAGCAATGCAATCTTACTGGTTTTCTTTAGCCCAGGCATGTGCTGAGGCACAAGTACCTAGCTCAACACTTACTTGGGTCTAGAAATCCTTAGATTAAAACAGGGGTCCAAGCTCCTTTCCAGAGTTCATGGGATTCATGTCAATGTATGGAAAAATCTGTGCATAGTGATGTCTGTTATTCCCCTTTATTGACTTGAGAATGCCAATTGCCAAATAAACCTCAAACAGAATAGTGGCTAATTAGGCATGGCATTTTCTATCACAGATCATAAAATATTCTATTCATCGTATCAATGGAAACATAAGTGGTGAAGTCATCTGTTAACTAAAGAGAACGGGATGAAAACATGATGGCCAGATATTGCTGATGGAGGGAGAGACTGCTAGTGTTTGGGAACAGAAGAAAAAACAGGCCTCCTAGGCTCAGCAAAACCTCTGCTGTGTTATAAATTCAGTGAGGACTTACAATTATAGTGGCATGAAAAAAAATCAGAGCACGGATATATGTCCCATGGGCCACATAGTTAGAGACTACTTGCATGACCTTTTCCTCTTTGGCTTGGTTTCCTCACTTCTACATTTTTTAAGGACGGAGTTGTTTTGAAGCCCTGTATTGTGAGTCAGCGAAACTGCTCAGTCTCTGTAAAACTTTCCTCGAATAGCTCCTTTATAGTTAGAGCCAATCTTACCTTCATGAAGAAAGAGTATGATTTTATCCCAAGATTATGGGAACATTTGGAGTAACTAGTCTGTTGATCCTCTAAATAAATATCTGTTGGTTCTCTCTTGCAAATTTCAAGGCTTAGGCTATAATCTGAAGAGCCTTTTTCAAAATTCTATTCCTATAGAAATCACCTTCAAAAACTGGAAGCTGCTGTCAGTAAACATCAGCTGTAACTCAGGTTTTCCAGGGAGACCGTGGAATCTCCATCCTTGGAGACACTCACAACGTTATTGGACAAGGCCCTGAGCAACATCGTCTAACTCTGAAGTTTGTCCAGATTTAAGTGGGATTTGGCCCTGGTGACCTCCAGTAGTGCTGTCCCACCTAAACTGTGAGTCTGTGGCTCTGTGCTAGATACTAAACATGGTTTTGCAACAAGACTAACTCGCTGGAAGCTATGGTTAAAGACTCCTGAGCCTGGGATGCTTTTTGGACAGCACTATCTTGTTTCCAGTGCCTTTTGAAGGATCTACACCTTTCTAAATAAACTCTTTTGGCTCTAGTATCAGTATACGTTAAAATATAGACTCTAAATTTCTTTTTTCCTTTCTTTCAGACACCATGATTTGGAAAAACGGTACTAGCATCTATACCAGATTTCTTATGTGGTTTCTTCTGCTGCATATGTTAATCAGGAAGGTACTGCCTGAAGAGAACATCATTTCAACTAAGCAGGGCAGAGTAAGGGGGGTGAACTTGCAGGTACTAGGGGGAACTGTGACAGCCTTCCTTGGAATTCCTTATGGACAGCCACCCATTGGCAGACTGAGATTTCAAAAACCGGAACCTCGTGAGAAGTGGTCAGGTGTCTGGGATGCCACAAAACAGGCAAACTCTTGTTATCAACTTTTAGATACAACTTTCCCTGGATTTGCTGGATCAGAGATGTGGAATCCAAAAACTAACCTAAGTGAAGACTGCTTATACCTTAATGTATGGGTTCCCTCACCCAAAACCAAGAATGCAACTGTCATGGTGTGGATATATGGGGGTGGCTTTGAGACTGGGTCATCTTCCCTGTCTGTCTACGATGGCAAGTTTCTGGCTAGAGTTGAAAGAGTCATTGTTGTTTCCATGAACTACAGGATTGGTGCATTAGGATTTTTGGCTTTGCCAGGAAACCAGGAAGCTCCTGGAAATGCAGGTTTATTTGATCAAAGATTAGCACTTCAGTGGGTCCAGGAGAATATAGCAGCTTTTGGAGGCAACCCAAGAAGTGTGACTATATTTGGAGAGAGCGCTGGTTCGGCTTCCGTCAGCTACCACATCCTTTCTCCTGGAAGCCATCCTTTTTTCACAAGAGCCATCATGCAGAGTGGGTCTGCAAATGCCCCTTGGGCTGCAGTAACACCGTCGGAAGCCAGGAACAGAACTGTGGCTTTAGCTAAGCATCTCCACTGTCCTACCAGCAATGAGACAGAACTAATTCTCTGCCTCCAAGACAAGGACCCCCAGGATATACTGATGAATGAAATGTCTGCTGTAACACATGACTCTCTTTTAAAAATATATTTTTGCCCAACTGTGGATGGTGATTTTCTCTTGGACATGCCAAAAACATTGATTGAAAATGGCCTTTTTAAACAAACACAGATCTTAGTTGGTGTTAACAAAGATGAAGGATCAGGTTTTCTAATATATGGAGTACCCGGCTTCAGTAAAGATAATGATAGCTTGATCAATAAAACAGAATTTCGAGCAGGTTTAACATATGTCTTCCCAGAAGCAAGCCAACTTGCAGTGGAATCGATCATTTTTCAGTACACAGACTGGGAAAATGAGCAGAAACCAGAACATTACCGTGATGCCATGGATGATGTGGTGGGTGATTACTATATAATATGTCCTGCAATAGAATTCACAAAAAAATTTGCGCAGCTGGGACACAATGCATTCTTCTACTTCTTCGAACATCGATCCTCAAAGACTCCTTGGCCAGAGTGGATGGGAGTAATGCACGGTTACGAGATTGAGTTTGTGTTTGGATTACCTCTAGAAAGAAGAGTTAATTACACCAAGGCTGAAGAAATCTTAAGTAGGTCCATGTTGAGATACTGGGCAAGTTTTGCAAAAACGGGGTAAGTTTCCTGTAGAAGTTGTTTTGATTGATCAGTTCGTTGCAAATTTAAAAGGCGCAGAAACCTTACGCATGCTGGTTGTGATTTGAAGTCTGATGAGAACTATGAGGAAGGATTAGTTGTCCAGCTAGCCAGAATTTCTGTTTTAGCTCTGATAAAAACAATGTCTTAGTAAAATAAACTGTTGGCGTGTAGCTCACTGTATTGGATGAACTTAAGAAAATACTGTGTACCCACCTATAAAAGCAAATACTAAACATTTTTTGCCATGGCGGCACAGCAAAGGAAGGAAAGTGTTTTGAGTTTCAGAAACAAAATATATCAAAATCTGGAAAAGATTACCAATATTAGAAGTAAGAGAGAAAAGAAGCTTGCTTTAAGATTTAATATGCCCAGAACATGCAGATGTGTAATATGAAGATATATTATCTTCATGCTGTGAAGTAACTGGGATTGCAGGCTGTACTTTTCAGCCTTAAGTTTCCAAGTGTGCTATAAGTATAATCCAGCGTTTCACTGAAGTCAATAACAAATCACTTACTCTTTCTATTTGACTCATCTTTAAGTGAAATATATCCCAGCCTATATAAGAACCAAATAAGCATATTTCATTTGGATGTATGAAATGGATTGAATGCACCAGTGTATTTAGGTAGCATCCAAGAGCGCAGTGAGAAAACTCTTAGCTTTGTGGTGCACGAAGCTCTGGGCTGCTGCATCTGTATGCCTCTCTCTCTATGAAATATTCAGACTGAAATGTTTTACATCATTGTAAGAAAAACGGTCTTTACCACCGTCATGTACAATTAGTCTCAAGGCTGCCAGCCCAGTGGAAGGGGGAGCCTTCTTTTACTGTCAGAAGCTCAGTTTTCTCTCTGTCCCCCCTAAGAAAATTATATATATTGAAAGTAGAAAACTGTACCTGTGCAGTTAAATACTGAATTCACGCCTTACAAAATTTTAATTGACATTTTAAAATCCTGTATGAATTTGTCTTCCACGGTGGACTTTTCTTTTGATTTGTGAAAGTCCTGCTACCAAATCCATTGAAAGTTATGTAAGGGTTTGTAGAGACTGAAGTCAACTTTGGAAAGGGATCTAATAATTTTTTCTTACTAGATTAATAGATCAGAAATCAGAAGAGACTACTGTGCTCATTTAGTCCATAAAACATCATATATATATCACAAAACATAGGACTTAAACATTTCCAGGAATGGAAAATCCAGCCCGAATGCTGGCAGGTTGTTCTGGAGATTCATTACAATCCCAGTTAAAAAGAGAAGTTTTCTTTCTGGTCTGAATTTGTCTATTCTAGTTTTCCAGCTGCTATAATTTGTTAATCTTTGACAATTTCTTAAGCTTTACATTATTAAATTTGTGCTCCCAATGGAGCTAGTTCTAGACTCTATTCAAATAGCGCTTAAACCTTTTGTTTGTTAAACAAAATGAGTTTTGCCCTCGAGTCTTTCACTGTGAGGCGTTTTCTTCAAGTGCTTTAATGGTAACTAGGGCTCTTCTGTGCCTCGTCAATGCCTTTTTGGAACTTTCCTTGCTAGGAAAAAACATGATCATCCAAAGGGAGACCTAATGACAAGTATCATATATCTTCTCGATTTCAACCTGATATTCCCCCCAGGGAAAAAACTTTTTGAATCGGCCACCGTGGTAGGCAGCGGCTGAGCTTTGGCCAGGCGTTAGGGCAGTCCGGTTCCCACGCGCCTGTGCTGTCTCCCAGACCTGGTTGCCACCCACTTGTCTTTGTGTTACCTAGGCGATTTGTCATAGCGCTTATTTAATAAGCCTGCCACACTGCCTCCCCTTTTCCCCACCAAAATATTCTTCTAACTGGCTTATTCCTTCAACAGGTGTGTAAGAGGGCTGTGTTAATTAATGAGCAAAGGAAATGATAACCATTGATTGGTAAGATGCGTTTCATAGACCTCCTTTTGTATTCGCTTTACGTTACATTACGAGGTGAACTAACAGTTAATTTTTACAAGCATCCTTCTTTTAACAGATTTTCGTATCAAAAGCTGTAATTGTTTTTCTCGATACATAGAAACATTAGTTAATTTAACAAGTTCTGCTCCTTTTACAGAACGGAGCCTGTAATGTGTTTTTTTTACTGTAAATGATGAGCATGTTAAAACTCCGAGAAGGACTATACAGATAATTATGCTCTTCAGATGCACAATATTCTAATGCAGGTTTTATACTTGTAGAAAGGTAATCTAAAACTTAATCTCAGAGCTCTTCTGCTTCTGTTTTCACTCTGGATGAGTTCTGTGGGAAAGGCTACGACATAGGAGGCAGCACTCAGCGGCGACGTGCGCTTCGGAAATGGGCTGCGCCGTTGGGTTATCAATGCCAAAAAACGCACGTGAAGGAATCCCAAGGCGAAGGCTGTGCCATGAGGTCACTTAAAACGTGGTAACCGTCCCTGCGCTGTGAAGATATGATATGACAACATTGCTCTGAAGCTAGTGTCAGCAGGCCTTGGTGAGAGCGAGCTGAGCGAGATACCGGAGCTTTACAGCTCTGCAGACCTGCAGGAGCTGGCAATCAGGATCGTGTAACAGCCATCCAAAAACTGTAGATCTTTCCATTATGCAAAACTATTTATTAGTAGGAAAAGAGAAATTTAGATCCAAACTAGATTTTGCAGACCAATACTTACGTTTTTGTGAGCTGTCAGTTTCCGCTGTATTATAATATAAATATATATACACACTCATTCCTACGTCCTAATTACCTGCTGCATGGAATAGGGTATGCTGTCCCTGTATCTAGCTAGAATTAGGCAACATAAAGTACGTTCAGGTTTAAGTTTATAAAAGACTTTAGCCACCAGTCTTGTCATCCAGTCTGATTATCATTTGCACTATAATTAATTAGCTTACAGATAGATAGAATTTCAAGTGGTTTCCACAGCAAACAGCAAATAATCCCTCCCTCTGCTTCTGCCACAAGTATCAAAACCGTGACTATTAGGGGAGATAATGCAATCATACAATTGGAGTACCACTAAAAGCACAGATAAATATTAACCCATTATGTGCCACTTTCTTCCTAATCCAGACCGCAGATCCATTCGGTTCTGTAATAAATTATCCACAGTGCAGAATGAGTGGAGAGATAATAGCCATTGTTAATAATTCCAGAAGGACTAGCTGATCTACTTTTTTCCCTGGCACTTTTGTGCACACAGTAAACATCTATGAAGAACTGGGGAAGCCCTCCTTGTGTTTGACATCTGTTTATAGTACACTCTGGCGTGATCAAAGGACAAACATCTGGGGAAAAAAAATGCTTTGCCATCGATGTTTGCGAGGCATGAGGAGAAAATTAGGCAAGAAGATGAAAATCAGGGAATATTGTACAGCACGAATTTTAGTGAGGGCGTTTGACCTAATATTCTAATGTGCGTTAGTACAAAAGCATGAGGGAGGAAAGAGAGAGAAGCCTCAGGAAGAAAAAAAAAAAGAAGAAAGAAAGATACGGTAGAGCCAAAACAAGCTGAAATAAATGAGTTTTGTCTTGAGACTTTCTCCCTGGAAGGATCGGTGAGATGGCGCAGCTTCCCTTGCGCGGAGCGGCGTGCTTCGTGCCACCTTTGGTGCTGCAGCCCGTGATTCCGTGTTTCTCGCAAGGGGGGCTTCACTTTGATCCTAGTGCGCTCTATTTTTCCTTTCCACGTGCACCGGGATTAAAAATGGTTTTTTTATTTCACATCCTTGCTAAACATAAATAGCTGTGACAATTGGCCATTTTTTTGCTGGAAAATTATCGGGGCAAGGATTTTCTATTATCCTATTATTCCATTATTTGTTCTCTATACCTAAAGCAATAGTGTGGGAGGTTTTTTTGTTTTTTTTTTTTAGATCTCTAACATCTGTATAGCCCCTGCTACACTATTCTTCTTTGACAATAGGCAATTGGCTTTTGTTCATGAGATTCCCTGCAGATTCACTTACCCAAAATAGGATTAAGTGGCTCAGGAACCCCTGGTAACTATGAATGGATGTAGATATTCCTATTCAGAAGGTCACTTCTTTTGTAAATGGTGCCACAGCACAAATTGCCACTTAACCCAAGCACAGATGGGACATGGCTGGAGGAGCAGATCTTGACACAGGGGCTGCATCAAGACGCAGGTATGGTAACTACCTGTGCTGCTGCACAGGGGAACGGGCCACCCATCACCGTCTGCGGTGGTAACCCGTACAAACTCTGCTGCTTCACAGCTCATACTCAGATGAATGGAAAAGAGGGAGTTTCCTCATGTGTTCTGACTGCTCAAGCAGTTAACATGAGATAACTTGAAAAAAGGACAGACTGGCAGGGCCATAAGATTTCTAGTTGTGATGTCTGGGATCAGTCTTTTGGATTATTGCTAACTGATACTCACCTTAATCCTGATAACCAGAGCATAGGTGGGCACCCGCCACGGAGCTACGGCTAACTGAACTGGTAATATGGGTAACCCATCTGCCATTTACACACTTACAGCATCAGTTCCCCTCAGAAATATGTGTATGCTCTATCTCAAGAGCAGATCTAAGTAACGAATGGCACAGATTATTATTATCATTATTTAGCGAACTATTTCAGTTAGTTATTCTACTTCTGTTCTGAACAGAGAACATCATTTACAGCATCCTTATCTGATCCTAATGCAATTTAAAATTTTTTAGGCGCTTGAGATGTGGGCGATGCCATACGTTAGCCCTCATCCTCCATCGTACAGTTATATGCTGGCATAAGGAGCTGCCTGGCAAGCGAAACCGGGTTAGACTCTGCAAGAATGTGCCACATGTGGAGCAAAATACTGAGCTCTGATTTACGCAGTGGGTAGAAGAGCATCACTAGCACCGATGGTCAGTCTTTTATACCTTTGGAAACTGCAGCCAGTTACTACCCTTCACAATGTGGTCGAAGCACTTTTGCCTTCCAAACCAGGCAGTTCACGGTCTCTCTAATGTGATGTTATCTGAAGT